CATCATCAATCCATCGATGTTTAACGCTGTTTTATCAAAAATTCATCGATGTTTCATCAACAAATTTCTCAACGGCCGGGCCATGGTACTGCCGACGACTGCCGTTTAGACTACCGCCGTAAGTGTATCGTGGGCAGAAGGTCGTAGTAAAAGTCGCAGTCGGCAGAGGGTCGACTCGGTAGAAGTCGCCTCGGTCGCAGTCGGCGCGTTGATGACATGTTCATGACAGTGGCCTATTGATGACAATCGGTATTGCAGGGTATGAATAAAACTGTAAATATAATATTAATACATTATACATAATTTAAAGTTTATGAATTATTAATATTTGAACTGCAATCTGCAAAGGATACACACTTCAGCGTATCAAAAATAGATTCCTTTCTTGTTTTTATATATATGTATGTATAGATATGTATGTACATAATTCGTAAACCCTGAGGTAAGAATACATCTACATACATATATATATATATATATGTATATATATGTATATAAGAATGTCGAGTCTGTTACACCACTTATAACTCAAAAACGGCAGCAGAGATTTGGGTGAAAATTGGTAGGGGGTAGCTAGAGCCAGGAGACAGACATAGGATACTTTTTATCCAGTTCGATAAATCCATCGCTGATATATATGTATGTAGCATTTACTACAAACCAATAAAAAATAAATTGTAGCCATTTATCTTTAAGGTAGTAAGATGAAATGTGTTAATTATGTTGATCGTGCATTTGAGGCTATAGTATAAAATGACCGCGCGCAAACGAATATCATCATCAAGTCTATTTACAGAACTTAAGACAAAATACAATAAGAGAAAATGCCCTATTAAGGCATCGCGTGAGGACACGAAGATCATTGGCATCATACAATCGATTGGCATATATGATCTCACTGAGAACTATAGTGATTATGAAAATTTAGATATTGGACCAATGACGACTTTATGCCGATATTGCAATGCGTTAAAGTTCAAAAGTGGAAAAGTTAAACTGGATCCGTTACTTTTCAAATATAAAACAAAAAAAATCCTTCATTTTTTAATCACCAAACGAAATGTTACATAATAGGAAGCCATCTGGTGGCAAAACGGAGTTCGCCGAGTTTCCTAGTATGTATATATGTATATGTAGGTTCTGAAAAGTTTAAGTATACCCTTGCAGGGTATTATAATTTCAGTCAGAAGTTTGCAACGCAGTGAAGGAGGCACCTCCGACCATATAAAGTATATGTCGATCATGGTCGCGTTCCATTTTCGAGCGGAGTGAGTTTCGACTTTCCTGGCTGACGATCGCTGAAGACTGCCCGATCGTTCTGCCTAAGAACTGCCTTCGAACCACACACGGCGACAGCGACGCGACGCTGCCGCCTCGCTATAACGATTCCTGTGAAAAAGGGAACTAACAGCGCAGCTGTGTCGCGCCACAACGAACTAAGAGGACCAATCATAGAATAGAACCAAGAATGCCAAAGTTCCGCGTAAGACAAACTTTCCAGGAACTAGCATTCTGCATACGGTGGTATACGAATGGTATATCCATTCGCCGACATATATATATTCTTGATCAGGATCAACAGCCGAGTCGATCTAGCCATGTCCGTCTGTCCGTTTCTACGCAAACTAGTCTCTCAGTTTTTAAGCTATCTGAATGAAACTTTGTAGTTAGCCTTCTAAGTACTCTCACTCGTATATATGTCGGAACGGGCCGGATCGGACGACTATATCATATAGCTGCCATAGGAATGATCGGAACATTTGTACGAAAAAAATTAGACAGTTTATTATTCTTCAATTTTGTGTAAAATTTATAGCTCCCATGGGAACGATCGAGAAATTAATTCAATTAAAATTTATAACATTTTCAGTTTTCAACAGAATTTAATCAAAATTGAGATATAGTCATTTCATATTATTCTACAATTTTATGTACAATTTTATGAAAATCGGACTACTATATTATATAGCTCCCATAATTTAATACAAATAAATATTATAACTTTTTCAGTTTTCAACAGATTTTCAAATTTGAGGTATAGCCATTTTATATTAGTCTTAAATTTTGTGTCAAATTTCATGAGAATCGGTGCCATACAAACGATTTGATGTAGAGGAAAAATGCAAATCTGTGAATGTAAAACTGCAAATATAATATGTATAGGTGAATGAAATGAAAGCAGGTATTACTTCATTGTTTTTTACCTAAATATATATAATTTATATTGTATAGATTCTTAGTCATAGAAATTCTATCTGGTATATAAACTTCGGCGTGCCGAAGATAGCTTCCTTTCTTGTTTTTAACATAAGACACGTTCAACATTTGATGCTTGGTTTTTAAATAATAATATTTGTCCCTAAGCAATTGCATGCAATCTTGCGGCGCCTCCCTTTGACAGCTTCCAGACTTGTTAATAAGAGCACCCGAGCACCTGTACAAGGAACTTGAATAATGGGATACTGGCTCTGATAGGCAAGTATGAATTGGAGTCCGTTTTAGGAAGGAACATGGTGGTACCAGAGGCCATACCTATGTACTTCTTCGGCGATCCCATTGGGTCAGCCCCGGATAAGACTGGAAACCGATATCCAATGTCATTCAACATAGTCCACGACAGCGACCTGACAAGTGCTTAAATGTTGAACAACCTGTGGCAGTTGCATCGAGACTTTCGAGATCGATATTTTGTCCTTGATTGCCCCCTCTCTCTATATTCTTTACAAATTAATATAATTGCCAAAGTCCCAAAAATTTTATAATTTCGTCTATCAATTTAATGATATGAATTGTATTAGCTCTTCTGAACTTCAGAATCCGACTCTGACGCACAATTTTATTCATGTCCAAGTCCATAATTTGAAATATTTATGTAGAGCAGAAAGTGAGTGCAAGAGGCATAGACAAGAACAGCCTGTTTTATTAAGTTTTTAATTCTTTTTCACAATGGCGTTAGGAGTCTCTAACGTCACGCAACCTTCTAGTATTTTAATTTTGTGTCGCTGTACAGGCCTTTAAAACGTTGCTTACTAATAAACGATCTAAATTATTTGCCTCACTCATTCAGGTGTTCCGAGATAAATTCCTTAGTTGTCTTGCGACTCTGATGTCGGTGAAAATATCCACTAAATTAATGATATGCCAGTGTGGCTTTCTTTTTTTTACAAAGTTTAGCACAACAAAATTTTCCTCCATGTAATAAAATTCAAAATGAATATTATATATTATATTATAATATTATTTTTAGACAATTTTAACATATTAATTTTATATTTTCAAGAAATTGCAGACCTGAGCGTTTGACATTAAAAATATTATTACCTTTTATAAAGTCAAAAATGAATTAAAAGGTTTATAAGATCACTGGCATACATTTCGTGATCATCATAAGTTATTGGTAGAATTTCAAGGGAAATTCTGCTGTATTTGGGAATGGAAATCGGCACACTCGGAACACCATATAAAATACAATATAACACCATATAAATATAAAATTTTTTCATTCAAAGAGTCTTCCCGTGGCTTCATCTAAAGTTCACATTGATTTTTAATATAATCTAATTCATAAAAATACTTTCATTCATAAAATTATATAGTACATTATATTTAAGTTAAACAACTTGGATATGCAATTACTTATTAATAGATTTTAAGACTCCGATTTCTATAATTTTTGCGATCATTTTTCTCGATTTTTTATACTGTTAACATACAAATTTTAAATTAGCTGGTCAAGAATTCAGTTTCTTACTATTTTTGCGTAGTTCCTTTTAAGTATTGCGATACATTGACGATATTTCTGTAATTACTAAAATTCACATTCCTCAACATTATTAGTAAACAATTATTATCAGCATTATGCATTGGGACTTAAATTTTTTTTGAAACCAATTAAATTATATCTTAAAGTGTAAATACAACCTTTTAATTATATATATTTTATGACAAAGATCCATTGTTTAATTTTAATAAGTGAAATACTATTTGCCCACTGGAAAAATTCGCTAGAGTAGAGTCGAGTTAAGAAATTGTATTCTTTTGCCTGACACTGCCCACGATACACTTACGAAGGTCAGTTCGGCAGTCAAAGCAGCCGGGTTTTGCTTCAGTGTGTCTTCGTTTTTCGTAGTGAAATTAAAGGTGGTTCAAAAACCTGTCCATGTTTAAGTACCACCACACTCACGTCAACACCACCAACAAGTATAACTAAAATAACAATATTCTGTTAATAATTTATAATGAGATTAAATGAGATATGTACTTACAATTCAAATGTCTTCCTCTATGTGCCCTAGAGATGGAAAAACATCGATGTTGCCCCGCCAAGCATCGATGTTTCGAAAACATCGATGTCATCGATGTTTCTCCACCTCTATTAGATATAGAGGATGTGCAAAACTGTAAATGTAAAACTGTAAATATAATATGTACATATACATACATATGTTAAAGAAATGAAAGCAGACATTTCTTCATTGTTTTTTTTAACATAGGTATATATACATAATTTATATGGTGTTAATTCCTAGTCATCAAAGCTCTATCTGCAACAGAATATAAACTTCGGCGTTCCGAACTTAGAAAACTTCTTGTTTTTATTAAAATCGGACGACTATATAGCATAGCTGTTCTATCCTTAAATGTAGAGAAAATGCAAAACTGCCATGCAGTAACTGTCATCAGTAATTCATCAACGTTTCATCAACAGTCATTGATTTATTTAACATGGGCATGTCCTAGGCTGTCATCAATAAAAATTCATCAACAATAAATCGATGATTCATCAACAAATTCATCATCAATCCATCGATGTTTAACGCTGTTTTATCAAAAATTCATCGATGTTTCATCAACAAATTTCTCAACGGCCGGGCCATGGTACTGCCGACGACTGCCGTTTAGACTACCGCCGTAAGTGTATCGTGGGCAGAAGGTCGTAGTAAAAGTCGCAGTCGGCAGAGGGTCGACTCGGTAGAAGTCGCCTCGGTCGCAGTCGGCGCGTTGATGACATGTTCATGACAGTGGCCTATTGATGACAATCGGTATTGCAGGGTATGAATAAAACTGTAAATATAATATTAATACATTATACATAATTTAAAGTTTATGAATTATTAATATTTGAACTGCAATCTGCAAAGGATACACACTTCAGCGTATCAAAAATAGATTCCTTTCTTGTTTTTATATATATGTATGTATAGATATGTATGTACATAATTCGTAAACCCTGAGGTAAGAATACATCTACATACATATATATATATATATATATATATGTATATAAGAATGTCGAGTCTGTTACACCACTTATAACTCAAAAACGGCAGCAGAGATTTGGGTGAAAATTGGTAGGGGGTAGCTAGAGCCAGGAGACAGACATAGGATACTTTTTATCCAGTTCGATAAATCCATCGCTGATATATATGTATGTATGTAGCATTTACTACAAACCAATAAAAAAATAAATTGTAGCCATTTATCTTTAAGGTAGTAAGATGAAATGTGTTAATTATGTTGATCGTGCATTTGAGGCTATAGTATAAAATGACCGCGCGCAAACGAATATCATCATCAAGTCTATTTACAGAACTTAAGACAAAATACAATAAGAGAAAATGCCCTATTAAGGCATCGCGTGAGGACACGAAGATCATTGGCATCATACAATCGATTGGCATATATGATCTCACTGAGAACTATAGTGATTATGAAAATTTAGATATTGGACCAATGACGACTTTATGCCGATATTGCAATGCGTTAAAGTTCAAAAGTGGAAAAGTTAAACTGGATCCGTTACTTTTCAAATATAAAACAAAAAAAATCCTTCATTTTTTAATCACCAAACGAAATGTTACATAATAGGAAGCCATCTGGTGGCAAAACGGAGTTCGCCGAGTTTCCTAGTATGTATATATGTATATGTAGGTTCTGAAAAGATTAAGTATACCCTTGCAGGGTATTATAATTTCAGTCAGAAGTTTGCAACGCAGTGAAGGAGGCACCTCCGACCATATAAAGTATATGTCGATCATGGTCGCGTTCCATTTTCGAGCGGAGTGAGTTTCGACTTTCCTGGCTGACGATCGCTGAAGACTGCCCGATCGTTCTGCCTAAGAACTGCCTTCGAACCACACACGGCGACAGCGACGCGACGCTGCCGCCTCGCTATAACGATTCCTGTGAAAAAGGGAACTAACAGCGCAGCTGTGTCGCGCCACAACGAACTAAGAGGACCAATCATAGAATAGAACCAAGAATGCCAAAGTTCCGCGTAAGACAAACTTTCCAGGAACTAGCATTCTGCATACGGTGGTATACGAATGGTATATCCATTCGCCGACATATATATATTCTTGATCAGGATCAACAGCCGAGTCGATCTAGCCATGTCCGTCTGTCCGTTTCTACGCAAACTAGTCTCTCAGTTTTTAAGCTATCTGAATGAAACTTTGTAGTTAGCCTTCTAAGTACTCTCACTCGTATATATGTCGGAACGGGCCGGATCGGACGACTATATCATATAGCTGCCATAGGAATGATCGGAACATTTGTACGAAAAAAATTAGCCAGTTTATTATTCTTCAATTTTGTGTAAAATTTATAGCTCCCATGGGAACGATCGAGAAATTAATTCAATTAAAATTTATAACATTTTCAGTTTTCAACAGAATTTAATCAAAATTGAGATATAGTCATTTCATATTATTCTACAATTTTATGTACAATTTTATGAAAATCGGACTACTATATTATATAGCTCCCATAATTTAATACAAATAAATATTATAACTTTTTCAGTTTTCAACAGATTTTCAAATTTGAGGTATAGCCATTTTATATTAGTCTTAAATTTTGTGTCAAATTTCATGAGAATCGGTGCCATACAAACGATTTGATGTAGAGGAAAAATGCAAATCTGTGAATGTAAAACTGCAAATATAATATGTATAGGTGAATGAAATGAAAGCAGGTATTACTTCATTGTTTTTTACCTAAATATATATAATTTATATTGTATAGATTCTTAGTCATAGAAATTCTATCTGGTATATAAACTTCGGCGTGCCGAAGATAGCTTCCTTTCTTGTTTTTAACATAAGACACGTTCAACATTTGATGCTTGGTTTTTAAATAATAATATTTGTCCCTAAGCAATTGCATGCAATCTTGCGGCGCCTCCCTTTGACAGCTTCCAGACTTGTTAATAAGAGCACCCGAGCACCTGTACAAGGAACTTGAATAATGGGATACTGGCTCTGATAGGCAAGTATGAATTGGAGTCCGTTTTAGGAAGGAACATGGTGGTACCAGAGGCCATACCTATGTACTTCTTCGGCGATCCCATTGGGTCAGCCCCGGATAAGACTGGAAACCGATATCCAATGTCATTCAACATAGTCCACGACAGCGACCTGACAAGTGCTTAAATGTTGAACAACCTGTGGCAGTTGCATCGAGACTTTCGAGATCGATATTTTGTCCTTGATTGCCCCCTCTCTCTATATTCTTTACAAATTAATATAATTGCCAAAGTCCCAAAAATTTTATAATTTCGTCTATCAATTTAATGATATGAATTGTATTAGCTCTTCTGAACTTCAGAATCCGACTCTGACGCACAATTTTATTCATGTCCAAGTCCATAATTTGAAATATTTATGTAGAGCAGAAAGTGAGTGCAAGAGGCATAGACAAGAACAGCCTGTTTTATTAAGTTTTTAATTCTTTTTCACAATGGCGTTAGGAGTCTCTAACGTCACGCAACCTTCTAGTATTTTAATTTTGTGTCGCTGTACAGGCCTTTAAAACGTTGCTTACTAATAAACGATCTAAATTATTTGCCTCACTCATTCAGGTGTTCCGAGATAAATTCCTTAGTTGTCTTGCGACTCTGATGTCGGTGAAAATATCCACTAAATTAATGATATGCCAGTGTGGCTTTCTTTTTTTTACAAAGTTTAGCACAACAAAATTTTCCTCCATGTAATAAAATTCAAAATGAATATTATATATTATATTATAATATTATTTTTAGACAATTTTAACATATTAATTTTATATTTTCAAGAAATTGCAGACCTGAGCGTTTGACATTAAAAATATTATTACCTTTTATAAAGTCAAAAATGAATTAAAAGGTTTATAAGATCACTGGCATACATTTCGTGATCATCATAAGTTATTGGTAGAATTTCAAGGGAAATTCTGCTGTATTTGGGAATGGAAATCGGCACACTCGGAACACCATATAAAATACAATATAACACCATATAAATATAAAATTTTTTCATTCAAAGAGTCTTCCCGTGGCTTCATCTAAAGTTCACATTGATTTTTAATATAATCTAATTCATAAAAATACTTTCATTCATAAAATTATATAGTACATTATATTTAAGTTAAACAACTTGGATATGCAATTACTTATTAATAGATTTTAAGACTCCGATTTCTATAATTTTTGCGATCATTTTTCTCGATTTTTTATACTGTTAACATACAAATTTTAAATTAGCTGGTCAAGAATTCAGTTTCTTACTATTTTTGCGTAGTTCCTTTTAAGTATTGCGATACATTGACGATATTTCTGTAATTACTAAAATTCACATTCCTCAACATTATTAGTAAACAATTATTATCAGCATTATGCATTGGGACTTAAATTTTTTTTGAAACCAATTAAATTATATCTTAAAGTGTAAATACAACCTTTTAATTATATATATTTTATGACAAAGATCCATTGTTTAATTTTAATAAGTGAAATACTATTTGCCCACTGGAAAAATTCGCTAGAGTAGAGTCGAGTTAAGAAATTGTATTCTTTTGCCTGACACTGCCCACGATACACTTACGAAGGTCAGTTCGGCAGTCAAAGCAGCCGGGTTTTGCTTCAGTGTGTCTTCGTTTTTCGTAGTGAAATTAAAGGTGGTTCAAAAACCTGTCCATGTTTAAGTACCACCACACTCACGTCAACACCACCAACAAGTATAACTAAAATAACAATATTCTGTTAATAATTTATAATGAGATTAAATGAGATATGTACTTACAATTCAAATGTCTTCCTCTATGTGCCCTAGAGATGGAAAAACATCGATGTTGCCCCGCCAAGCATCGATGTTTCGAAAACATCGATGTCATCGATGTTTCTCCACCTCTATTAGATATAGAGGATGTGCAAAACTGTAAATGTAAAACTGTAAATATAATATGTACATATACATACATATGTTAAAGAAATGAAAGCAGACATTTCTTCATTGTTTTTTTTAACATAGGTATATATACATAATTTATATGGTATTAATTCCTAGTCATCAAAGCTCTATCTGCAACAGAATATAAACTTCGGCGTTCCGAACTTAGAAAACTTCTTGTTTTTATTAAAATCGGACGACTATATAGCATAGCTGTTCTATCCTTAAATGTAGAGAAAATGCAAAACTGCCATGCAGTAACTGTCATCAGTAATTCATCAACGTTTCATCAACAGTCATTGATTTATTTAACATGGGCATGTCCTAGGCTGTCATCAATAAAAATTCATCAACAATAAATCGATGATTCATCAACAAATTCATCATCAATCCATCGATGTTTAACGCTGTTTTATCAAAAATTCATCGATGTTTCATCAACAAATTTCTCAACGGCCGGGCCATGGTACTGCCGACGACTGCCGTTTAGACTACCGCCGTAAGTGTATCGTGGGCAGAAGGTCGTAGTAAAAGTCGCAGTCGGCAGAGGGTCGACTCGGTAGAAGTCGCCTCGGTCGCAGTCGGCGCGTTGATGACATGTTCATGACAGTGGCCTATTGATGACAATCGGTATTGCAGGGTATGAATAAAACTGTAAATATAATATTAATACATTATACATAATTTAAAGTTTATGAATTATTAATATTTGAACTGCAATCTGCAAAGGATACACACTTCAGCGTATCAAAAATAGATTCCTTTCTTGTTTTTATATATATGTATGTATAGATATGTATGTACATAATTCGTAAACCCTGAGGTAAGAATACATCATACATATATATATATATATATATATATATAAGAATGTCGAGTCTGTTACACCACTTATAACTCAAAAACGGCAGCAGAGATTTGGGTGAAAATTGGTAGGGGGTAGCTAGAGCCAGGAGACAGACATAGGATACTTTTTATCCAGTTCGATAAATCCATCGCTGATATATATGTATGTAGCATTTACTACAAACCAATAAAAAAATAAATTGTAGCCATTTATCTTTAAGGTAGTAAGATGAAATGTGTTAATTATGTTGATCGTGCATTTGAGGCTATAGTATAAAATGACCGCGCGCAAACGAATATCATCATCAAGTCTATTTACAGAACTTAAGACAAAATACAATAAGAGAAAATGCCCTATTAAGGCATCGCGTGAGGACACGAAGATCATTGGCATCATACAATCGATTGGCATATATGATCTCACTGAGAACTATAGTGATTATGAAAATTTAGATATTGGACCAATGACGACTTTATGCCGATATTGCAATGCGTTAAAGTTCAAAAGTGGAAAAGTTAAACTGGATCCGTTACTTTTCAAATATAAAACAAAAAAAATCCTTCATTTTTTAATCACCAAACGAAATGTTACATAATAGGAAGCCATCTGGTGGCAAAACGGAGTTCGCCGAGTTTCCTAGTATGTATATATGTATATGTAGGTTCTGAAAAGTTTAAGTATACCCTTGCAGGGTATTCTAATTTCAGTCAGAAGTTTGCAACGCAGTGAAGGAGGCACCTCCGACCATATAAAGTATATGTCGATCATGGTCGCGTTCCATTTTCGAGCGGAGTGAGTTTCGACTTTCCTGGCTGACGATCGCTGAAGACTGCCCGATCGTTCTGCCTAAGAACTGCCTTCGAACCACACACGGCGACAGCGACGCGACGCTGCCGCCTCGCTATAACGATTCCTGTGAAAAAGGGAACTAACAGCGCAGCTGTGTCGCGCCACAACGAACTAAGAGGACCAATCATAGAATAGAACCAAGAATGCCAAAGTTCCGCGTAAGACAAACTTTCCAGGAACTAGCATTCTGCATACGGTGGTATACGAATGGTATATCCATTCGCCGACATATATATATTCTTGATCAGGATCAACAGCCGAGTCGATCTAGCCATGTCCGTCTGTCCGTTTCTACGCAAACTAGTCTCTCAGTTTTTAAGCTATCTGAATGAAACTTTGTAGTTAGCCTTCTAAGTACTCTCACTCGTATATATGTCGGAACGGGCCGGATCGGACGACTATATCATATAGCTGCCATAGGAATGATCGGAACATTTGTACGAAAAAAATTAGCCAGTTTATTATTCTTCAATTTTGTGTAAAATTTATAGCTCCCATGGGAACGATCGAGAAATTAATTCAATTAAAATTTATAACATTTTCAGTTTTCAACAGAATTTAATCAAAATTGAGATATAGTCATTTCATATTATTCTACAATTTTATGTACAATTTTATGAAAATCGGACTACTATATTATATAGCTCCCATAATTTAATACAAATAAATATTATAACTTTTTCAGTTTTCAACAGATTTTCAAATTTGAGGTATAGCCATTTTATATTAGTCTTAAATTTTGTGTCAAATTTCATGAGAATCGGTGCCATACAAACGATTTGATGTAGAGGAAAAATGCAAATCTGTGAATGTAAAACTGCAAATATAATATGTATAGGTGAATGAAATGAAAGCAGGTATTACTTCATTGTTTTTTACCTAAATATATATAATTTATATTGTATAGATTCTTAGTCATAGAAATTCTATCTGGTATATAAACTTCGGCGTGCCGAAGATAGCTTCCTTTCTTGTTTTTAACATAAGACACGTTCAACATTTGATGCTTGGTTTTTAAATAATAATATTTGTCCCTAAGCAATTGCATGCAATCTTGCGGCGCCTCCCTTTGACAGCTTCCAGACTTGTTAATAAGAGCACCCGAGCACCTGTACAAGGAACTTGAATAATGGGATACTGGCTCTGATAGGCAAGTATGAATTGGAGTCCGTTTTAGGAAGGAACATGGTGGTACCAGAGGCCATACCTATGTACTTCTTCGGCGATCCCATTGGGTCAGCCCCGGATAAGACTGGAAACCGATATCCAATGTCATTCAACATAGTCCACGACAGCGACCTGACAAGTGCTTAAATGTTGAACAACCTGTGGCAGTTGCATCGAGACTTTCGAGATCGATATTTTGTCCTTGATTGCCCCCTCTCTCTATATTCTTTACAAATTAATATAATTGCCAAAGTCCCAAAAATTTTATAATTTCGTCTATCAATTTAATGATATGAATTGTATTAGCTCTTCTGAACTTCAGAATCCGACTCTGACGCACAATTTTATTCATGTCCAAGTCCATAATTTGAAATATTTATGTAGAGCAGAAAGTGAGTGCAAGAGGCATAGACAAGAACAGCCTGTTTTATTAAGTTTTTAATTCTTTTTCACAATGGCGTTAGGAGTCTCTAACGTCACGCAACCTTCTAGTATTTTAATTTTGTGTCGCTGTACAGGCCTTTAAAACGTTGCTTACTAATAAACGATCTAAATTATTTGCCTCACTCATTCAGGTGTTCCGAGATAAATTCCTTAGTTGTCTTGCGACTCTGATGTCGGTGAAAATATCCACTAAATTAATGATATGCCAGTGTGGCTTTCTTTTTTTTACAAAGTTTAGCACAACAAAATTTTCCTCCATGTAATAAAATTCAAAATGAATATTATATATTATATTATAATATTATTTTTAGACAATTTTAACATATTAATTTTATATTTTCAAGAAATTGCAGACCTGAGCGTTTGACATTAAAAATATTATTACCTTTTATAAAGTCAAAAATGAATTAAAAGGTTTATAAGATCACTGGCATACATTTCGTGATCATCATAAGTTATTGGTAGAATTTCAAGGGAAATTCTGCTGTATTTGGGAATGGAAATCGGCACACTCGGAACACCATATAAAATACAATATAACACCATATAAATATAAAATTTTTTCATTCAAAGAGTCTTCCCGTGGCTTCATCTAAAGTTCACATTGATTTTTAATATAATCTAATTCATAAAAATACTTTCATTCATAAAATTATATAGTACATTATATTTAAGTTAAACAACTTGGATATGCAATTACTTATTAATAGATTTTAAGACTCCGATTTCTATAATTTTTGCGATCATTTTTCTCGATTTTTTATACTGTTAACATACAAATTTTAAATTAGCTGGTCAAGAATTCAGTTTCTTACTATTTTTGCGTAGTTCCTTTTAAGTATTGCGATACATTGACGATATTTCTGTAATTACTAAAATTCACATTCCTCAACATTATTAGTAAACAATTATTATCAGCATTATGCATTGGGACTTAAATTTTTTTTGAAACCAATTAAATTATATCTTAAAGTGTAAATACAACCTTTTAATTATATATATTTTATGACAAAGATCCATTGTTTAATTTTAATAAGTGAAATACTATTTGCCCACTGGAAAAATTCGCTAGAGTAGAGTAGAGTTAAGAAATTGTATTCTTTTGCCTGACACTGCCCACGATACACTTACGAAGGTCAGTTCGGCAGTCAAAGCAGCCGGGTTTTGCTTCAGTGTGTCTTCGTTTTTCGTAGTGAAATTAAAGGTGGAAACCTATCGATAGTCGTCGCCATCGATAGTGAGGGACTATTTTTCTCAAACCATCGATAGTGTCGATAGTACTATCGGTAGTGTGATGCATTTTAATTAAATGTAAAAAAGCTAAAAAATGAAATTTAAACAAAATTATATTATATTTTTAACTCTATACAAAAAAAATCATTTAATTTGTTGCTTCATTATATTTTTAACTCTTAAGTTAACTGGGCTTAGGACCTACGTTAATAACTAGCCTTTTTTGATTAGCGATTGTAAAAAAAGTACATCGTCGAACTGCGCATTCAAGCGGAAAAGAAGTACAAAACTAATTCTTTTTCAAAAAGAGCATTAGAAGATTTTTACTTTCAGCTATACTTTTGCTTTTCACTATATTTTTGCGTTCCACTTTTAGCTTTATTTTTTCTTTGTGATGTGAGAAGTCGCGTGCGAAACTATCGATAGTGCAGGGCTGCCATCGATGGCGGTGCGATAGCGCCAAACCATCGATAGTGCCATCGATAGTTCTCCACCTCTAAGTGAAAGGTTGTGTGCGGAAAATTTTTTTTATAACAGAAACCCTTATGCAACATGACATTTTGCTTTACTATTAAAAAGTTCTATATTAAGACTATAATATATTTTAGGATTAAGCATTTAAACAAAAGACTCGCCACGCGAAAACAAAAACAACGGTTCATTACGGGCTCAAAATTGTTAAAAATTAAATTATAAAAACAAAAATGTTCTACTCGTTTTATTACAAAAGGAAACTTAAAGCCCCATACATCATCTAATGGTTAATCAACACATTCTATTGTTGTCCCGCTCGCACTTACTAGGTTGAGCCCCTCTCACTCGCACTCATTGCTATTATTGAAGAGATACCAGATTTTTCCGACGGAACTACCCTTTATAATTGTATTATGACACTGCCGAAAATTCAACCAATTGGTTCCATGCTTGCGATAACAAGGGAATTCCAATAAATAACTCAAAATATCGGCAATTGATAACAGTTTTTTTCATACAAATACATCGTCAATATTTACAGTAATTTGTTCCTTAGGGAGTCCCCTGAACATATATAAGACCGGTAGGGTGTAGAGTGCCACTTAGTAGCTAGTTACCTGGTAGCTGCCGAGATCACTGAAGATACAGGGAACCCTATCTTATGGTAACTGAAATTTTTTTTTTTTATCAACCATTTTGGAAATTACAAAGAAGTACATATGTATACATATCTGGATAGCTGGCGGCGGTGGCCAATTAACAGATATTGTTTTCAAAAAGTGGCCAAACACATTGTGCTGGGCCATATAAAATATGGGGGATCTCCGAAATGGGTATACCCTTACAAATTGCAAGTAAGTTTTACTTTCACAGTGATTGCATGTTCCTCCTTATTTAACGATAGTTTGTATGGAAGCTGTATATTATAGTCGTCCGGTTTTAATGAAATTAAAACTAAAAGTCTAAAATATTTTATATTATGAAACTCAGATGATTATATCATAAAGCTGTCGTAAATCGTTGAATGTAGAGAAAATTGCAAAACTGTAACTGTAATTACAATATACATAGTTATATAGTTATAGGTGAATGTTATAGAACATAAGGATACATACATATATAATTAATATTGTATTTATTATTACTGATCGAATTGTAATCCGCAAGGGTTTGGTGTGCCGATCTTGACTTCTTTTCTTGTTCTTACTCTTTTTAATAAAAACTTCACTGTTTACACCCTGTTTAATTCAATTGAAGTAATGATAAAGGATATATATGTACATACATACATACATGCGCAGTTGTGGTTTGGTGTTGGCCTCATGTGTGTTTCTTCATTTTATATATTCAATACGTTTGTACGTACATGTATTTTATTAGCAGCGAGTGAAGTTTTAGTCATACATTCAAACATTTTTTGTGGGTTAATAAAAATCGATACAAATTGTAAATGTTAATACCGCATGAAATGCTAGGATTACGTCTTATTTAAAATGGAAAACTTACCATCCCACTCAATTGAAGGACAAATTGACCACTTTCTAGAACAGATTAAAAACCGTGCTTCCAAAGGGAACGAAGCAATGGACATGGACATGTTGCCGAAAGGACAATCCGAATTAAACGGTTGGTAATAATAACAGATTTTTGTACTATTTATGTACATATTTATGTATGCATGCAAAGCTTAAGAATAAAATTATTATGCTATTGCTATTTTTATTGTAAAACTTAAAGACTGTCCTGGCGGAACTACTTATGTACAAATGTATGTATGTATGTATGTATATGCCGATAGTATGAATTCGTTGAATACGTCAATTGAATCGTTATGGTTTAGACCGTTATTGATTTGATGGGGATGTTTATGATTAAATTATGTTTGCCCTTCAGTACCATTCCTTTAGGATTCAGGTCTGAATCAGGTTTAATTGGAGAGGCCTCCATCCTGAATAATTAGGGAGTTTTCATACAAGCCATCCAGGAATTTCCATACAGTCGGCGTTATAAAACCTGAATTCAGACTACCCGAGGAATTATCCGGTAATCATTAAGGAATCCTGATAGGAATTTGTCGTGAATTTCGACACGAAGCAAGAATCAAAAGGGAATTTCGAAATGGATTCTGAACAGAATCATCCATAAATTTGAAACGGTATCAGGCAGTAATCGTAGGGGAATTTATAGTAGAATCAGATAGGACTCTCAAAGGAATACCAGGTGGAATCATCAAGGAATCGTAGGGGAATTTAGATTAGAATCAGATAGTAATCCCATAGTAAATATCTGATTTTAAAACTAGCATACAACCTAAATTTTTTATTTTTAAGTTCACTCAACTCGTTAGTAAACCACGGAAAATTATTCGAGATTGGCGGATAGTATAACGGAAAACATTCAGTAAAAAATAAGTTCATAGCATTGTAAAGAATATCCACGGCTACTGCCAATACATAACATATAAAAATATTCAGCCATTTAAAGTCCGTAGTGCGAAAGCATAGGACATTTTTGGCTGGACGGTCAAATATATTCTGTAAGTCAGACCCAATATCAAGAGTCACATCAAATTATAATGATACGGATATTTGGGTTCCGTCAGAGGCTCCACCCTCCCCGGATTCGAGACAAATAAAGATCGAGCAAGCGCTGAACGGATTTTCGTACATGGTTGACTCGAGGCAGCGAAGTGTCAAATAAGCGAGCGATAAAGTCATGTTGCGTAGGAGTGAGGAGAGTATTGTTGGAATTATTTGCGAACCAAATAGTCCCAAGGACATTGAAATCACCTAGGATTACCAACTGGTCTCAATTCAAAAGTCTACTGGAAACCATTGGAATAGCGGAAAGGTGGTTTCAATAAATAGGAAGTTCCGACAATGGAGGTATGTAGGAACAGGTTTTAATATGGAGCTACGATAGATAGCTTCACACGATGGAATTCAACATCGTTGCATTCCTCGAAACTTAGTAATTATGTTGTGAGTGAGGAGTAGAATGCTATACGAACTCCACCCCCACGCCTGATAGGGCAATCTATACTGTTAACAAATTTGGAACAACTTCTAAGCTCAGTTTTCTGTGAATACAAGAAATTGGGAAGCAAACGAGAGACTTTCAGAATACTAGTTAGGAAGCTTACTACGTAAGCCTCTGGCATTCTGATAGGAAATACATACGAAGTAGGTTAGTTTTTTGGGTCGGGATTGGAAGACAAAGAAGGCGCATTGGTAAAGCCAATTTTGTCAAGGAACATAAGAAAATATTAAATTTTCCACCTTTTTGTTTTGTTGTTTTGGCTGTTTTTGACTTCGATAAAGACGATCACATTTTGCGATGATTCAGCAGGGGAGAGCCCCGAAACAAATATATGACTCTTAGGTGGAACTGCTATTAGGGCTTTTTGCGAGGCAGATTGGTTATGTGCCGTGCCACGGTTGGCCGGTAGTCCGGGACTAACACCCTGGGGGGAAACATTTATAGTTACCGAGTTTTGTGGGATGGGGACAAAACACCGACGGCATAGGCACTCCCGCAGCACATTCGGGCACCAAATCTTTTTAGCGCTCGATCAAAGCACTCTTGCGTTGCGGGTTGCCCTCCAATGGCTGTTTTTTTGTACCTGGGAGGCTCATTTATTAGCGTAAGGCTATTAAATTGGCTATCCAGTGCCAAAAACATAAGTTTTGCGAAAACTCGATAATAAGACCTTAACAGTACTCTTGGCTTGTCGCATGAATCATCTCATTTTACACCTCGCTTCACATATCAACCCAAAAATTCGTGTTTATTGATCATCTTCAAAATTCGTGGAATCATTAACTCGTTTTTGGTCAAAAGTGAGGTTTTGTGTATTTTTTAAGTTTTATTGGTAACAACCTCATTTGGGCGTCATTTGAACACGTCTACTCTTAGCATACCATACCTTGATGGTTGATTTTTCTGGGGCAGTGTCATGTTAAGCCATGTCTTTGCATCAACTACATTTTTTTTGTACACAATATTATATCAAGACGCGAAATTCTTTTGTATTCATATGAATAAATATTTCACAATACAAAAACTAACTTGACTCAAAATGCTATAATTCACAAACTAATGCTCCGACAATGCACTATGGTCCAGAAGTTGATTTTTTTGGCATAAATTCAAAGTTTTCATGTTGATGTTTTGTATTTTTGATTTAAAATTATTAAAGTTAAAACATCAAACATAAACAAAACTAAGAAAATGAGCTTTACAAGCTTCACTGAAGATTTTTATGACCTTTCGAAATCACACAGTCAAATAGCTTTTTGGTAATAAGAAATTGGTGGCAAATTGCGCTTTTTACTTTTTTGCGTGGAAATAAATATTCTTTGTCCGAACAAACTGTTGATAGTAATGGAAATTGTAAATCAAGGTATGTATTTTTAACTGAATATAGTATGTTTATGAGTAGTCTTAGTGTTTGTGTTTTGTTTAATGTTCAATTTATGTGTATTTTGTATAGAAAATTAACATGCGTCCCTTGTGTTTCGTGGAATAAAACTAACGACCTGGCGGCTGCTGACAAAAACTAAACGTCAGTTTATACTTATATATGTCGTTCTTTATCGCTAATTAACAACTTTCCCCGTTCGTCCCCTTTTTCACGCAATTCCGCAATATTTTGCGACGTTCGAATTTCGCGAGAGCGATCTCTTCGATATATGGCTCAGCAATAATAGAAAAATATCATCTGTGTTAGATTGAATTTATGAAAAAATTTGCCATTCCCAATACCGAAGATGATACAAAATTAGAAATCAATTAAAAAAACAAGTAATTTTGAATCTTTTAAAAAAAAAAAACTACCAAAATGCAACTATATGGTCAAACGTTTTAAGTCAAAGCATACTGAATGGATGTCGTCTAAAATATCAGTTACAATAAATGAAAACTGTAAGACAACAAAATCTGGGACGCTGAACTTTGTCTTATGGAAACGCAGGACCACGGTTGAAAGGAAAATTGGCATCTGAGCTGGCGAATGAAAAAGAGCACAACACAAGTCTTCTTATGCATGCTGCAGCCGTTTTAACACCTGCTCAATACCAAACAGAATTAAAAAAGCAACTTCAAATCCAAAAACCGACTCCACTCACACCAAATGAAGCCCCAACTGATACCAAACAGAATTAAAAAAGAAAGAAACTTCTGATCATATACGTCAAATGAGAACATCCCATTTGAAAAGGAATTGCAATCTGATTGTGATTCGGATGAGGACTTGAACGAAAGCAGCTCAATAATACTAGAATAGGAAGAAGAAGAATATAATGTTTAAGACAGAACCCATACATAACATATATATATTTATATATAGATATTTAAATTGTTCCTGAAATAAATGTAAGTATAGTGTCTGAATTCAGCGTCATACTCAATTTCTAATGATAATACTACGAATCGGTTTGTATGGGATGTAATAGAGGGCGTGGTCGCGCAGACTCAAATTTTTTTTTACATTGTTGACTTTCTAAAAAAACATAATATGCAATAATAATATTTTTAGAATTTATGCCAAAAATATTGACTTCTGGACCATATTGCAATGGTCAAATTTATACACAACACTGATACAGATACTTACTTAGGAAGAGAAGAACAGTTCAAAGCTCCACGTCAGACAGTGCGGCTGTGTAAATAATGCACGTTTTATATTTTTATACCCTTGCAGGGTATTATAATTTCAGTCAGAAGTTTGCAACGCAGTGAAGGAGGCACCTCCGACTATATAAAGTATATATATTCTTGATCAGGATCAACAGCCGAGTCGATCTAGCCATGTCCGTCTGTCCGTCTGTCCTTCTGTCCGTCTGTCCGTTTCTACGCAAACTAGTCTCTCAGTTTTGAAGCTATCTGAATGAAACTTTGTAGTTAGCCTTTTATATACTCTCACTCGTATATATGTATGTCGGAACGGGCCGGATCGGACGACTATATCATATAGCTACCGTAGGAATGATCGGAAAATTTTTACAAACAATTTTTTAACTTTTTCAGTTTTCAATAGAATTGGATCAAATTTGAGATATAGCCATTCTACTATACTCTACAATTTTGCATAAAATTTTATGAAAATCGGACTACTATATCATATAGCTCCCATAGGAACGATCGAGAAATTAATACAATTAAATTTATAACCTTTTCAGTTGTCAACTGATTTTCATCTAATTTTAGGTATAGGCATTTTATATTAGTCTTAAATTTTGTGTCAAATTTCATGAAAATCGGACTATTATATCATATAGTTGCCATACAAACGATCGTTTGATGTAGAGGAAAAATGCAAATCTTTGAACGTAAAACTGAAAATATAATATGTATAGGTGAATACAATGAAAGCAGGTATTACTTCATTGTTTTTTAACACAAATATATATCATTTATATTGTATGGTTTTTTATTCATAGAAGTTCTATCTGCAAGGGTATATAAACTTCGGCGTGCCGAAGTTAGCTTCCTTTCTTGTTTGTTAATTAATTCACTTATCATTGTTTTTTTGTTTCGTATTTTCGTATTTTCTCTAAAGACCGTTGCCGATGAGCAACCGAAATATATTGGATAATAAAATAAACTTTTTGTTAATTTTTTTTTTT